CACTCGACAGATCATAAAAAATTAAAGCAAGATTGCTTTTAAAGGTCTCTTTAAATCTGAGGTGACATTATATAGTTTGTTTAGAGTCTTAAAAAATTACAACAACTATATCATAGTTTAATAAAATTTTTTCATTAGAAATAAGCAATAAATATTTGCTTTATACATTTAATAAAATTTTGATAATATTATTTTAACAAGAGCTTAGTAAAAAACATGTAAATGAAACATGCTCGGAAAAACAAATTTTAAATTAAAGTAAGAATCAAATGCATAAAACAAACTGTTGGTCGCAAAACACAATAAAAATAGGGCATATATAGCAGTTAGTACACAGTTTATTTTAAATCTGCATACATTTTTTTGAATAGAAAGGATACAGAAGGTTTAAAATTTGTTTCATCTACTGAGTCATAAATGCTCAAATTGAAAATTTAACAATAATTCTGAAATATTAATAATTTCTAATATAGTTAAAATAAACTTTATAAATTCAGTCGAATTTTGTCGTATATCTATTCTTCATAAATTCTTAATTAGGAGTTTTCACCTATTCCATTAAATTCAAGTTTCTAGTGACATTCATGTATCTACATTTTATATTTCAATTTTTGTTTGTTTTTTTTTTGAAACTACAAAATCATTCCTCTTATAGATTTTTTTTTTTGGTACACTAATTTATAAACATTACCGTTTAATTTATATTTTTACCTTGTTTCATTAATAATATAAAATTTTATCTCCTATGACAGTCATTTTCTATTGTTTTTAAGGTGGATTTGCCCCATTTTCAAATTAAATTGGTCGCATACTAATGAGCATAAAAGCTTCTAGTAAAAGAACAAAAAAAAAAAACAGAAACTTAATGTTTTTTCTTTCTTTGTTGCTATTTTATATACGTTTTCTTTATCACTCAAATATGAAATTTTATCTTTTCATCCTTAGTTTACCTTCTTTCTGAATATATTGTTTTAAATTTTCTCTTTTTTTTTTAACTTGTGGGTAATAATTTTTTATTAAAAATATGTAAATTTATAAATATAAATATGCTGAGGTTTTCCCCTTTTTTTTTGCATTCTGAAAGATATAAGAATTTTTTTTTTTTTTGGTATGGAAAAAATATACAAGAAAAACATACGACCTACATACATATACACACACATTTATGAATAATATTATGTTTAAATGTTGTCCACAATGGGTTTGGTAACTTGTATTAATTTTATGCAAAAAAAAAAGAACGAGGAAAACGAAAAAACAAAACAAAAACCTTGGGATTTAGTTTCGTATTTTCCCTTGAATATTTTTTTTTGTTCTGTTTTGTTGAAAAATGTAATTTTATTTTAATCTAAGAAAAATAAATGTAGATAATTTAACATTTTAGGTAGAAACTTAAGTATTTAGGAAAAATTTTTGTTATTTCGTTTCTTGTTATCCTGACATTTTTTTTAAAAATTATAATAAAATAAACTGAGATTTCCATGATTCTTGAAATAAACATAATTATATGCATTTCGGAGAAAAGTAGGAATATGAATTCAGAGACGTAGGGGTAGGAAGTATTACGACGTATATAGTTTTTAAATATGCTGATTATTAATATGGAATTGGAAATTTTTTTAATCAAAGTACAATTTGACGGAGCTCTTCGACACGGATGTCTGTTATTCTTAATGGCATTACAATTAATTATGTATATAGAAAACAAGAAATGCGAAACTAGAAATACGCAAGTATTTCTTGTTTGAGTTAATTAAATAGATAACTTCAAATAAGAATGATTTGAATTTTGAACCCTGCACTTCCCTCAAAAACTCTTTCGCACGTTTAATTTTAATTGTATTTTAAGTAAAACGTGCTATAGATTTTTTCAATTTTACTGCCATTAAGTGTAGTAATTGTCTATTGTTCTTCAATAATATTCACCATAATAAAATTTTAACATATTTTTTTACAATTATTTCAATTAGTTGAAATAATTATTGACTAAATAGAGTAATGGAAGACAATTTTCATACATGCTATTTTAATTCGTATACTGGCCGAATTCGTAAAGTATAATCTAACCATTTTGTTGCGGATAAAACGTGTTTACAATTACCTACTTTATTATAATAATTATTTACTTATATTCAAAATTAAAATAAAAGAAGAGAAAAAAAACATTTATTTTCACAGTTAGTTTTTGTTTTTATTAAAACCATAAATATTATTTTGCAAAAAAAAAAAAAAGAAAAAAAAAACGAAAGTCCTTGTTTCCATATCCATTAATTAGCCATAATTTTTAATGAATAAAATTCAGAAACACACATACACATACATACAACATACTCTTAAAGTTTTAGTTTACAGTTTATACGCACAATTTACTAACGCCTACATTAAAGGATGAAATAAACAAAACTATATTTTTTATTTTTTCTTTTGTCTTATCTCTATCTGTCTCTCTCTCCCCCTTTCTCTCTTGCTCTGTTTTCATAAATTTTTTTATCCTTGCTGTCCTTGTAACATAAAATACTAAAGCAATTATTGAAAGTAAGCAAAAAAAAAATTTTATTCAGAAAACGAATGAAGTGTTTGGCGCGTTTGAATGTTTCTTAAATTTTATTTATTTTCGTTTTGTTTTTTTTTCCTCGTGTTTTGTCATATTAATGCTACAATGGATTACGTTCACTATACAAAAGAAGAAAAAAAAAAAATAAAAAATATTTTTTTTTTTAGAAATAAGCGAGACGATCTCCCAATAAATCACAATTTTGCGGTTTTTCCTTTCTATGCCTTATGTTTTGTGAATATAGATACGTAAATGTCACTACATTATATTTTGTACCTATGTATGTATTTGGTATTGTGTACTAACGCATTATATTTTCTTTTTCATTATTTTGTAAATACTGTTAATTTTGTTGTTTTATTTTAAGTCAATTCCTTTATCCTTGAGAATCATTTAAAATGTGATTTTAATATACACACAAGATTCATTTTACATTCAATAGGCGTTATGCTCTCTACTCGACGTTCTATTGTGTTTGACAAAAAAAATATGAGTATATAGAAATCAACTTGGATATATAAGGATTGTAGGGCGAACAAAAAAAGGAAAAAAATATCTTTTATTTTTCTTATGTTTAGTCAAAAAATATTTTCCTTTGTTAAATTTTTTCTTTTTGTTATTCTTTTTTTTATTGTTTTTATTCTGTATAAATTAAGATTTACGCATGTGAATTTGTTCTCACTTAAAAAAATTACCGAGAATTTTTCTCGCATAAGTATAGCAAAAGAATGAAAATAGTCTAGGGGGAATGGAGAGAGTATTTTATAAAAAGGAAAAAAAAAAAAAGATTTGAAATCGAAAATGAATAGGAACAGTTCCAGTTGCAGTTCAGAGCTGCCGCTGAGAATTTTTTTTTTCATAGAAAACCATTTTATAGGAAAGAAGAATCGAAATCGGGAGAAAATAAAACATCTTACAAATAGTTCAAAATTGCTAATTCTTTATTACGAAACAACAATTAAAAATTACTACGTTTTATAACATACATATGAGAATATTGCCATTAATCACGTGACACGTAAAGTATTTGACAAAAAGTGTCAACAAACAAAATAAACAATTTTGGAAAATTACTAAAAATTAAAGAACATTGTGAATTAAATGAAATTAAAGAATATTGTGAATTAAATATTGTGAATTAATCTAGTATTGTCTCCAAAAACAACTAAATGAAATACGACACAAAAATTTGCTATAAAAATATTCCAAAACGGCAGCATTGAAGAAATATTATAAAACGGCAACAATGTTAAGCCTCTCTTATTATTTCTTGTTCGTTAACTTTAATGTTAAATTAAATTAAGGTCACAATAATATTTTTCGGACAGATATTTTTTGTAATAATTTGTAATAAGTATTCAAAAAACAAATAAATTCTAAATGTTAAAATTAATAATGTTGTTAAAACTTGATTACGAATTATTATTCATTTTGATTACAAGCGGTTTTAAAACATTTTTACTATGAAAATTTTAAAATTTTTATTAAAATTTTCTAAAATATCACGAATCTTAAAGTGTGACATAAAAATTTGTGTTTTACTCGTATATTCAAATATTCCGATAAAATTAGTTTAATAGAGAAAATAACCCAATTGAGAAATGGTCATAATTATTATACTCGCAATAATATCCCATTAGTATATAAACAACTTAAATCAATTCATAAATTAATACCTACTCAATTTCAGAAAATATTATTTAATAATCGGGCAGATCGAATAAAATATTTTTATTTTACCGATATAGCTGTGTATATATTACCTACTTACTTATTATTTACTCAATCTATGCTAAAAATTGCCATTTTAATACAATGAGAATTAATTCCCTTTGGAATATTTTATTGTATTTATATATATATGTATACGTTATTATACTTGTAAAGATTCCAATATTGTGCCTACTTATTAAAATAAATTAATGCACAGAGGTGAACCATCCTTAACACCAATATACATTTATCTTTTTTATATCCTGAAAATTAGTAAATGAACGTTTTTAAGCATAAAAATTAATTTCAAAACTTTTTTTTTTCCTTTTTCTTTTGTTGCCGTTTTGTTTTTGTTTTGATTTAATACTGTTGTTATTTTGTTAAATTAAATTTTCCGAAAGTAAAATAATTCATGAAATTTTATACAATAAATGTAAAGTGATTACAATATTTTTATATTATTTAAAATGGAAATTAAGTAGCTTTAGAGTAAATAATTATATTATAAAATGTAATTTGCATATTAGAACTTGATTAAGAATAAAAATAAAAGTTTGAAGTTAAAAACAAAAATAATTTGTTTTTTACATTTTTGAGCTTTTTTATTGTTATAAGGACTTTATACACAATAAAATTATGGCTGTTTGTCGTAAAGTTATAATTGATTCAAATACAAAATAGACAGAAATTTTTTTTTCAGATAACGATAAATTTAATTTAATTTTAAAATTACCTGATGTCCAGAGCATATTGAACCATTTGGTACACGTACTCTAAAAGGACTATGTACTGGGCATGATGTTCTTGGACCCCATCTTGATGATGATGGTCCTGGTAATGGTACTGTATTAAAATTATTTGAACTACATGGATTACATAATGGTGGTGGTGGTGGCGGTATTTGATTACCACTATTACCACTTCCAATATTATTAGCGCCAATTATATTTACACCAAGATTATTACCACTATTACCACCACCACTACTATTATTTAATATTGAATTTAAACCACCTCCGCCACTAACTCCTAATCCAACTCCTCCTCCACCACCTCCTACTACTCCTCCTCCTCCACCTACACCTCCTATATTTCCACTTACATTTCCAACTCCTATTCCACTATTAACTGGATGTATATTACCAGGATTATTTGATGTATTATTACAATTATGACCATGACCAACACCACCAATGCCAATATTGTGGGAACCTAATAAATGACCACCTGTAGAACCACTCCCAATACCACTTAATTGTGATGTATTTGGTATTGTTGATTGTGGTGGTCCTGGTGCTGGTGGTATTGGTGGTCCAGGCCCAGGACCATGATGACACATTGGTCCACCACAATTTGGTATTTGTGTCCATTGAACACTTGAGCTACTTATCTGTTGGTTTATGCCGCAGTAATGTTCTACGGCAAAACTCTCTTGGCTACCAGAACATTGTAGCCTATGCGATGGTGGTGGTGATGATTGTCTTGAATAAATTTTTAATTTTTAATATCCTTCTATGAAATTATGATGTATGCTATTTTTTTTTTTGTTATTTATTTTAATTAATTATTATTATTGTTGTTGTTGTTGTTATTATTATTATTAATTGCTATAATATTGTTATAATTTTTTTTGATAATAATTATATATATATATATATATATGTATATTTAATTAAAATGAGTGTTTTTGTTGTTTTTATATTCTAACTAAATAATAATGTGTTGAATTTTTTTTGTTTTAATTCAATTCCAATACTTTGTTATATTTATATGTGTATTTCATATATATTTGTTATATTTTTGTTCTTTGAACTAAGTAGTATTATTATTTTTTATATTATTATATTATATAAGTAGATATTGCGTTTTAATTTATTTAATAAAATATAATATATTTATTTTGTCCCCATTAATTTCGAAATTTTATGAAAAAAATTAGTTATTATATTTTGAGTACAATAATTTATTGCAAAATCTATTTTAAATTTTAATAAGTATAATAGTTAAATTTATAAAATAATCATAATAATAAACTAAGTATAATTTGATTTTAATTAACAATTTCTTTTGCTAGATATCATCACAGTTAGACTAACAGAAATTAAAAATAAATATATTTTTGTTTTTTGTTATGTATTTAAATAATTTAATATTTAAAAATTTATGAAATTTTTTAATAAATTTTTAATTAATTAATTAATTGATTTCACTGTGTTTATGGTTTTTGTTTTTTTTGTTTGGTATGCGATTGTGAATTTTGTTTTTGTTTATTTTTTCTTTTATTATTCAAAAAATATTCTTTACTTATTTTTTAATTTTTTAAACACTTACTATTATTTTTTGTTTTTAAATTTACTACTTAAGAAAATATATATATATATACATTTATATATATAAGTAATTTCTTCAGTATAAAGAATTTTATTTTGTTTTTTTGTTTGTTTTTACTATGGAACTATTTTGTTTTATAATATATTAATTTATATGCTTATTTTATTTTTATTTTATTTTAATATGTGTGATCTGTAATTATATTGTTATTTATTATAATATTTATATACATATAGATATATATATATTTATGTTATGTAATATGTTCTCATTCTCTTATATAATTAATATTCTTTTTGTTTTGTTTTTTTTTTTTTGTATAAAAAAATAACGATTAATAACAACAACGATTATTTAAAAAATTATTACTCTATATTTATAAATTTTATCTTTGTTTTTTTTTTTTAAATTTTTATTTTATTAATTTTAATTTAGCAACAATTAATTATTATATAAAGTTTTATTAATTTTAAATTGATTTTTTTATTTATATTTTATTTTTGTTTTTTTTTTTTTTTAATTAATATTATTTTAATAATAATGATGATTATAAATATTTATATAAATAATTTATACGTTGTATCATTTTTGCTTTGTTTTGGTTTTTCATTGATATTTATTTAATTATTTTATATAAATTTAATTATAATGTTCAAATATTAAATTTATTTTTGTTTTTAAATATAAATTTTAAGTTAACATTATTTTTATTGTATACTTTTCAGTTACTTTTGTTCATTTGGTTTTATTTTTGTTTTTTTTTTTTTTTTTTGTAACTCTTAATTCATTTTGTTGTTTGAAATTATAATAATGTATAATAAATTAAAATATATAGGGTGTTTTCTTTGTGAATAATTTTCACGTCATTTTTAATATTTCATATATATTTATATAATTTAAATCTGGAAAAAATTTAAGTGTTATGAAGGGGGAAATTTTATATAGCTTTAAATTTTATTTTAATTTTTATATAATTTGCATTTATATTTATAATGGAAATTTTATTGTTTTTAAGGATATTTTTTGGTCATTTTGTAAATGAGTTGAATATAGAATAACAAGTATAACAGTTTAATTCAGTTTAATTTTGTTCACTATTTTGTGTAATTATAATCCGGGCATGCACAAAATTGGTGTTATAATAAAATTTTTTTTTTCAACTACTTTTAAAAAAATTAAATATTTGAATAAAATTGTTAATTATTTGAGTTTTGTGTACCAAAAATGATCAACACTATTTGTACTACTATATTCACATTATCTAGTCAAAATATTTATTACGATAATAATTAATTTACTTATTAAAACGTCATTGAAAATTATAGTTTTTCTTAAATTTCTCTCAATATAACAAAAATATTATGCAGAAAAAGAATAATTTATAAGCTGTTATATAAAGAATAAAAATAACTATTTCTTTGAAGTCATATTTCATTCATATAACAGTTAATTAATATTAGCAAAAACAGTTTTTGACTCGTATAGAAAATGTTCTCATGAAAATTGATATGATTTTACATTTATTACTCAATTAGTACAATATTTTATTCATAGTAATATGGGTACATAAATGTTGTTTTCAAATACAAATTTTTGGAAATTTTTAATTTTCTGTTATACGTTAAAATGAAGATCAATGTTGCCAAAATATTATTGTTAATACTACTACAATTTTAAAATTAAAAATAAAAATTATTTTTCGAAATTTTCTTATTTTTAGGTATTTAAGTTTATTTTCTCATGCCAGGGTATTTTAAGTTCAAAATCTTAATTTTAGTAATTAACTTACAATTAATGAATACAAAATAACTGTTTTCTTTGTAAATATGAAAAAAAAAATTATAAATAATGCTTAAATAATTATTATTTATAATATTCTCGCCCACGTATACCTAAATTTTTCTTATAGAACAATCATTTTATCTATACAATCAAAAAAAAAATTTTCTATATAAATTAAGAAATGACGTTTTAATCATTATTTCTATGAAATGACGATCATTTCAATCAAATCTAATTTTAAATTCGATGACATAAAAATAAATTTTACCCTTTTCTTTTTAAAAAAAAAAAAATTATTAAATAGTAAATGTAGGTATGTCTATGCATAAAAATATTTATATAGGCATCCTTTTTTTAGACTAATAACAAAAGTGAGGGAAAAAAATCAGATAGGCATCAAGAAAACTTTTTCCGTAAAAAAAAAAAACAAAAAAAAAATTGAAAACAAACAAATACAAATCATGGAAACTGTCAAAATGTCACCGTTGATTTTTTTAATGATATTTTTTTTTTTTTAATTTTATTTTGTTGATTTTCATTATTAATAATACAAAATTTTCGTTCAAAATTTGTTTTTTTTTTTATATTACAGAGAGGTGTGGAACAAAAAATTATATTGAATATTAATTTTATATTTTATTCCTTAAATTCCCTTTTAAATAAAAGGTGTCCTTTTACTATTCAAACCACGTAATTTTGGCATTCGCTATAAATTTATGTAAGTGTATACTCGTATTTATTTTCCCTATTTTTTTGTGAAATATGTAAATTTTTAATAATTTAAGCATAGCTTCGTCAAAAATTCATTTTATTTTTCAAAATGAATTTATTAACTAAATTTCTTCTTTTAACCTTGTAAATTTATTTGTTATACACAATATTTTCTATTTCGAATAGAAAATATTATTTTGATAGTGGCATAATAATTTGGCTTGAAAGTATCAATCGTATCATAAGAGTCTTCTGTATAATAGTTTTAAGGTGCTTGAAATAAAATGCGTACACATAAACCTAGCCAAAATATTTTAGTTCAAAATTAACCTAAATACTGTTACTGTACCATTTTTATTCCATTTCTTCTATATTATCAATATAGTATGGAAATATCGGTTCCATAAATTGGGGTGACAACAAGTTTTTAAACAATATTTGCATGTTCAATTCATTTTTTCAATCATTTAAATGGAGAGATTAAATTATACTTTAAAGAACAAATCTCAAATATCACTGCGTTAGTCGACCAATTTGTATAATATTTACAAAATCAAGACAACTTAATCCAAGTCAATATTGAACCTTCAAAAAATTTTTGATCCAACAGTCTTACATACTACAATATACAACTCAGCGGCGTTCTATTTCGAACTTTTGTAACAATATTTAGAAAAAAAACATGATTTTACTTTCCAGTTTTTTAAATTTAACCTACAAAATACAAGATATTGTTATATAATATTAAAAAGTATGATTCAGTGATACTATGTAGTAGTGTATAACACAAATGCACACAAAATTACGTTTATATGTGCCTAGCCTTTTTATGTTCTTATTAAAATGAAATTTAATTTTATACCTTTTGCAATATATAAAATTCTAATTTGATATTATATTGAAAAAAAAACAACATCTCTACCATTATAAGTACGGTTAACACTTTAATGTTACTTCAATTTATATAAATAATGTAGAATTTTAAAAAAATGCGTATAGGAATGTAGCTTCCAAGAAAAACGTCTTGATTTAAGATTTTCTACATTCAAATACACCTTTTATCGATGATTGGAAAAATAAATTTTTGTTTTCCCTTCTTCTTTTTTTTTACTTCTTAATGACCATGAGGCCTGCAATAAAGAAGGTATTGTGAACATATCAATATTAATAGTCGAATTTTCCACGGAAAAGCATGTTTGAAAAAATGTTAATAAAAATCAGTTTTCCTATTAATCTATCAGTCTATGTGGTGTAGTTTGTTAAATTAACTCGCATTTGTGCTGGCAAGAACTATATAATATAGTTCCATTGTGGTGGCTCACTCGTTAGATTTGGTCATATGTAATACAATAATGAATTTAATTGAAATATTACATTACGGCTCTTTTCGCTGAAATAATCTTTTCTAATAAAGGTTTAGGGAAACTCTATTTCTACATGCATACCTTTGACAAAACTATGGTACAATGTGAGTTAAAAAATATATACATGATTTTAATTAAGTGGTATCACAGTTTTGCTAACGATACATAGATAACATGTCCTGCTTAACATTATTAGGGGCATACTAATAAAATAATAATAAGCAAACCTAGACCAACCACGAAATTTAAAATAAGTCTATAGAAAATATTAAATATTTTTCGTAAGTTCTTTAGCCAAAATGAATTCAACGTGATTACGTATGGTCGGTCATAAACTGTTCACATCACTTTTTTTTTGGAACACATTGATTTCAATAAATCGAAATCAAAAAAAAAAAATTCTTTTTTTTTTTAAGAAACTTATTTTTTTACCTTCTTCTTCTTATGATTTTTGTCAATCAATTTCACGTAAATCTTATATAAATAAAGATATCATATACATACATATATACATTAATGTATATATATCAAATATTACATAAATAATTTATGTAATTTATAAGTACATATATTAAATATATATATTTCTATATTGAAGAACCATACACGTATGTATGTAGATATGAATAAATTCCCATATGACGTGCGCAAAGATGGTAACTTTTGCCTCCTTCTTAAATTTACTTGTTTTAGACTTTGATGAAAAATTATATATATTTTGCTTTTATACATACTTTGTAAATATACATACATACATATATAATGTAATTTAAAAGAAAAAAAAATTACATAACAGTATAATAATATTGCGAAACTGGGTACGTTTTGTATACTGATAAGCGCATATAATATGAACAATAACTTTTGAAATGA